CCCCCCCCTCGATTCGCCCATCTGACAATCGTTCGATCGCAGAGAGCTGCGACATGGGTCAACCGAGGAGGCAGATCGCAACGATCAGATGAGCTAACCGTCGGTCAAAGGAGAATCTCGAGGCAACTGCACGGAAATCGGCCCGGAGTCACCCCCGCGTCATCCCCGCCTCATCCGTCATCCCACAGCGGGAAGCCACCGAGAACGGAAGTGGAATCTCGCTGTCGACGGGAAAGGAAATCCAGGACCATTTCCCGAACACTTCCCATTACGACTTCAAACGCACCAGATTATCAATCCGGCATCAATCTGGCATCAATCCGGTGTTATTTGCTCCGGCAATAATCCCGGGCGAATTCGAATCGTAACGTGCTTGAGCGCAAATCGTTTGGTCTGGGGATTAAGCTGCTTCCGATCACTGTGCCAATCAATCTGATTTCCAATCAGTTCATTAAATAATAATTTTTAATGAATAAATTCGCTGCGAGATTTCCGGTCATGACGTCACGCGAGGCACACGAGGAACCGGCCGAGCATCCAGCCGCGAGAGAATGCCAATTGGCCAAGCCAATTGCCATTCTCTCGCGGGACTTTCTAATTCCCTCGTTTCGCTTTCAGACCCGCCGCGACGCCGAATTTCCTCCCTCAACTCGCCGCGGTCCGCGGAAACGTTCGCACGGATTCGGCACGAAACGAAAAGAATCGATTCAACCATTCCATTCAACCATTCCGTTTAACCATTCCATTCAACCATTACCGCGAAATGTCGGGCCGAATCACGAACGGAATCGTGACTCAACGCTTTCACCTGAAAGCGATTGTCTTTTTTTCCCTCCTCCTCCGAAATCGGAAGGACTTTTCGGTCCAAATCTGGCATGACATGCATGCATTGAATGCAAGGGCGTCCCGTTCTGTCCCACTTTCTCGTTTTTGGACCTGCCAATTGGCACGAACTTTCGGGGACCTCCAGGGCAAAGTGATGCCAATCGGCGTCAAGCTTAAAACGGCACGCAGAAAACCGCGCCAAAACCAAAAAAAAATTGCAAATAGCACTTTTTGGCATGCCTGCCCAGCGTGACGTCATCAACGATTCAGAGAGAAACCCAGCAGATGTCAGCACTGCGCCCAGGAGAGAGCCGAACCCCAATTATTGTATTTCATCATGATATTATCATGATATTTATTATAATTATTACAGGAAAAAATGTGCCTTTCCCGCCGGGATCGACGAGAAATCCCATGAGGAAATCGACAGTGACTCGCGCGAGCTTGTGACCTTTACGGGTGACCTTTCCATTGCACACAACAGCACAAAAAGAAAAACGACGCCCAAACAACTTCATGAGTCACTAAATGGGAAAAACCAAGGTTGAGGCAATAGCGCATCCTTGTGTTGGCCTGGACAGGGGACCCAGGTTCCAAATTAGCTAACCGGTTTTAGCTAATCGTATTAGGCAGGAAGGCAGCGAATCAATTTCGAGTAGCCTGCGTTCGTTCACGACAATGATGGGCTCATTAAAAATCGGAATGCAAAAAAAATCGCCAGACCGAGAGTTGCAGTTGCCCCAGTTGCCGTTTATATTTTTAAATTAAATAATTTTTAAATTAAATAATTTTTAAATTAAATAATTTTTTAAATTGAATAATTATTAAATTAAATAATTGGTATTTTCGATACGATTGGTGTTTTCGTGGTTTCGTTTAGTGGACAAAAGTCTACCTGAGGATTTTGGATTCCCTGTCGCCCGATGAAGGCCTTTATTCTCGACATACACGGGGAAAAAAAAAAACAGGAACAGGAACAGGAAAGCCGGTAATGCCGTCAATCGCGAGGGTGAGCATCGAATATCGTTAAGGTTTGATTATGCATAAAAGTTGTTATCCAGATCAGAAATCTTCAGGATGTCTGTCCGATTAGCTGTTCGAAGTGGAGGTGGCAGAGGGCTAATTACGCTAAGAATGTTAATTATGGGGCCTTAATAACGAATAAGGTCGACGGTCGAGCCAAGCACATCGTACTAAGTCGTCCGAACTGTCACGAAATGACCGAATCCGCAAAAAGTGCCGTGCAAGACCGACCGATCAGCTGATACAAAACAAGTTGAAAAAAAGAAAGAAGTAAATCCGTCGATATCGAGATGGTCGTGCCGATTTTATGCGAAATCTGTTTTTCGACATCGAAGACCACCGATGAAATGCCAAATCAGAAAAATGTGACAGCGCAAAAAAATCCCATCAGGCATTCTTGAAGGATGGCAATTAGTGCTACCCTTGGGCACGAAATCGACTCCCTCTGAGGATTTTGGCCTTTGAATTAGCCTTTATTTCGGGAATATCGTCATTCCGCAATGCAGCCCCACAGATCTCTGAGAATCATACATGATTAATGACATGTTTTTATGCCACGGAATCAAACTTCCCATCCTTACAATCGGGGTCGTCTACGGGAATCACGAGAGCGAGAGGAAGCCTACCGAACGCGACTACACGATCCGAAAGCGCCGATGAGATGTCGATGAGACGAAACGATGCCAAAAAATAACGAGAATCTGCACGACGATCGGTCCCAAGATCGGCTCAGAAGGCATCCTTGATGGCCCGGAGCTGGCGGACGGCAAGGTCGGCCGGGAGGTCGAACTCGAACCCCATCAGCTTCTCCATCGAATGGAATGTGTCCTCGAAGCCTGGAGGGGAGAATCGGATAGACGGATTCACGTGGGTAATGCTGACCGAGCAGAATTAATAACATGTTCCAAATGTAATCGCCCATTGTCCTACATTTTTTATGAATCATTCCTCCCCACTGTGTTTCCCAACATGCATCTGAACCTGGAATGTTACCATCACAACCATGACTCTAATGGCCATCCTCATTAACCACCCAAATTGGATAAGATGCACTGTGTAGTACACAGCAGTCCCTTACATATGATGAAGACACTCAATGAGATACCAGACATCTCTAAAATTATGAACTTATAAGAGATAATAATGCATTCAAACACAGCTAAGGATGTTCCTAGATACGAAGAGGCTATTGAGATAATTATGGGTTACAGAGAGTATTTATAATATATAAATTGCACCTCAAGTAATCTCATAGACAACTGCTAATTGCATTAACTACAGACATCAAGACTCAGTGATGCCAAGCTCACTGCCACAATTCCAAATACATATTGCAAAAAAAAATAAACAAACAAGAAGCCCATAGAGTATGAAAAAATGATACAAATACATACTGATATTAGAAAACCCACTAAACCAGCTCTCAACAGGAAGCACAAGGATATTAACACAAAAAGCACCAGAGCGGTCATTTTGACCGCTAGCTGTTTTAAAATGCAACTTATTCTGCTCATCTGACAACTAAGGGCCTGTGCATTTTTTACTTTTCCTATATCTTAGTATTCAACATCCTGATGCAGCAGTAGACCCAGGGTCACAAAATCAAGAGAGATATAAAATACATTATACCCAGAACCACCAGAGCGGTCATTTTGATGGCCATCGAGAAATCAACGTATCTGGCTCAGCGAGCAACTATCTAAGCTGCCGTGAGTCTGCGTTCAACCTGCTTTGATCGCGTGAGCAACCTGCTGCAATCACTGACTGACTTGTTGTGAAAATGTGCCTTTGCCTGAAGCTGAACTTCAAAGCTAAGCACATGTCTTATATGCACTACAGTAGGATACTTTTTCAGACAAGTTGAGATTAATTTTTCCTGCAGCATTATCTGCTGTATCTGTAGGTGTACCTGCTGTGAAATTTTGTGCAGTGGAAATGAATAGACCAAGAAAACAATGTAATATTGCACTGCAGTGCTTGCAGCTATTACAGGACTTACCTGAGGCTTCATCTAGACTCTAAAATGTGATGGGCCCAATAATGATGAAAATTACAATGATCATGATGGAGGGAAACAAGACACATGACAGCTGTGCCATGTGCGAGAAGGCAGTGTGTGGCAAGTGGTGTATGTATCATGCCTTTGTTGATTTCATAAACACTCTAGGATAAAGACTCTAGGAAGTACTGTAAATTGCCAAATGTCCTATTTCAACATTAAAAAACAGTATTCATGGTTTTGCATAGATCATTATTTTTCTTCAAATTTAGTCCTTTTGGACACAAACAACTTTAAAAAAATTAAATGCAACAGAATAATGCTTTTATGCAATTTTTAATATAGTGGCCAAAATGACTGCTCTGGTATAGTACTTCTAATGTTAACTGAACAACAGGGACCAATGGCCACCGTAAGCAAAACATTGCCCGATTGCTAAGTATCTTAGATACAGCCTGCAAAATATATGGATTTTTTCCTTGATGTGATACCAAATAAAAAATTTGTGCTGGCCTAAAAACCTTGACTCCTCAACATCCTTAAGACTACCAATTAGATATCTTTAAAAATTTGCATTCAATTCTTGCGATTCAGATTAGAGCGAAAAAGAGGGACACCAACCGGTGCGTAAAGCATAGCTCCACGGCTGGTAGTACTGATTCACCAGGTGTGTGCTGCGGAAGATCAGCTTCAGCCATGAGATCAGCCTTTTGGAACTGGAAGAAACAGACAAGAATGAACACCTTACACTTGGTGACCACGTGCTTTCCAGGCCTACTGACAAGCAGCTCAAACCAATTAAAGCATTGCAAACTAATCAAACACATAAAATAATTACGGTATAGAAGGAATTCAATGCGAGATCAAATCAGGTGGCCTAAATAAAATGAACTTTATAATGCCAACATGTCAACATTACTCCAAAGGTCTTGAAACATGACTTCCAAATCTCTCCTTTTGAGAATTAGGCAGGTATGCCTCATGGGATGATGGAGATCATCCTTACTTGCTCCCAAAGTACATTGACTCTACTTTGATGGAGATTTTATCCAATCTCTCTTCCAATCTAATCTAAGCCTTCCACAAATGATCCTTCAGGAATTGAGCCTTGGAAGATAGTTTCCCTTTTCATCTTTCTAAAAGACTCATGCTTACTCTTTTTCTTCCTAGATAGCTTGTGCCCAATCATTTCATCTTCCCGAATGACAGCTCAGTAAGTGAATTCCCCATTTAGGAAGCAGAAGGAAAAGTCTCAGGAAGAATGGAAGCCTCACTTGAGTCCTTCACAGATGAATGCCTTGAAGTGAGCATCCATGGACCTCTTGAGAGGCGTGTGGGAGGTGATCACATTCCCAATCGCACCCAGCAGGGTCTGCTTTGCCGTCACGGCGTTGCTCCCGATGATGTCCAGCCCGAAGCTCTGAGCCAGCTTCCGCTGTGGAGTTGCATTGTACAAGGGTCCTCCCCTTATATCATAATAGGCAAGAAGGAGCTCCCACGGGTGTAGATGTCGCTCCGGTTGCACCTGAGCCGACCGGGTCGGGAAGCACCCCATTCGGGGAACCAAGGATGTGTTGTCGCTGGTCTGTGTGAGAGTGAAAGAGAAGAAAGATCCTATCACAAAATGATTGAAAATGAAAATGAACAACACTAATCAGCTCATAATCAAGTGCTATAAAAAAAAATTGACTTACTTATGATTAGGAATCCTAAGATTCCAGGAACTTTTACTTTTGCATAATTCTAATGACCAAGGTAAGTACCAGCAAAATCAACTGCACACACAAAATGAAAACAAGCACTATTGACTGTCATTAACTTCTGCCTCTTGCTTCCATAGAAATTTTCTGGTAACTAGGTTTTCTTGGCATCATCAGTCAGCCACTACTTATGTCAAGAGTCCTAATAGCATCTCAAATTCCCATAAAAAAAAGCATGGGAGCAGACCTGGACAAGCCCATGTTGCATGAGGTCCTTGAGGGCCATGGCGAAGTCCTTGCGAACAGCCATGACCAACTCGTCCGGTGCGACACGGGAGAAATCCTCAGAATCGGAAGTGTAATCGCTGTCTCCGCCGGCTGCTTTCTCGGCTGCCAGTCGAGCCACCCGAGCGATGGCCACCTCCAATCGGGCACGAAGATCCCTTTGAAAGCAGCATGAAACATCAGGATTACATTTCAGCTATGAAAACATCCAATAGGGAGGCTTTTCAATTAACCATATCTCATAGGATAAAGAAATGCTAAAGTTTCCACTAATTTACTCTTATGATGAAGTCAACTTGGAGAGCAATTAGCAAGGAAAAAAAAAAAACCATTCAGCTTCAGAACTAAGGATTTAAATCTCAGAACCTTTTGAGGTTAATGAAAGTTTTTCAATAATAACAGCAGAAAAATGAGGAAGGATGTCTCACCCCCAATGATTCCCTTTGCGAGTCTCCTTCAAGATGTTCCTCCGGAAAGGCTCACTCCCGCAGCCAAAATGCACATCCGCAAACATGTGCAATAGATTCAAGACCTTCCTCATCATTTGGACAGTCTTGGCTCGCATCTACAAAGAATCAGATTTTTCCCCCCCATTACTAAAATACAAGGGTCCATAAGTAGCAACACCATAAGTCAATTTGTATGATGGCTAGAGTTACAGGGCAATGAACAAGAATACAAAACATTTAATGAAGCTACTGTTAATCCTAGGTACACTTTTCATTAAAAATAACTTCAATATGTAAAGTTTACACAGGACAAACACAAAAATAAAGGCCAGGACAATACCTTCCAAGAAAATGGAAAAGCAATGCTGGTCTAGTTCTGCAACTTTCTGGCCACCTACATCCTAGAAAATTACTCACTAAAAGAATAACACTTAAGAAATTCACTGAAGGACAATGAGGGGGAAAAAGTTGGTAAATATTATACAGTAAATGTTTGGAATGGGAAATTGAGTTCCATGGATGGTTGAATAAAAACTTTCACCTTGCCCCAAAACCATCACTAAGAAACAGCTCATGCTTTTTCTTCCTGGCAGCAAGTGTAAAATTTGTCTTTCTAGCACGTGGCTGACTGATTCCTTGATCAAGTCCTTCACTTATCATATACCACACTGGACCTATGAGAGCTAATTTTCATATCAATTCAGAGCTACATGACCAACAGCACAAATTCCCTCCTCCTAAAGATCAGCAGAGTCCATGGAACAGGGAAGACTCACTTCCTCTGGATGCTGGAGGGTTGTGTTCTGAATGGGTCTAGCAGAGCCGGGGAAATTCAAGCCCCTACCTCGATGCGACTCCACCGTCTTGCCGTCTGACCTGACCGACGTGAGCGAAGGAAACCGAGACCTTCTCTCTTCCGGTCTTCCACCACAAGAACAGGTCGAACATTTCTCGGCATAAGGTCCAGGACTATCGGCATCACCTGGAGAGAAGCCATGCAAAAGTAGGACTCCTGATCGTGAACTGATAGTTGAAGCATTCCCAAGGCAGGATGATAGATTGTGTATGCCAGAACCAAAGTTGACCTCAATGTCATTACTTAGTTTGAACAAGCAATGCAACATCCATTTGTCTATGAGACTCTCCAACATACAAACCAGGATAGATGAAGTTGTTTTGATGCCCAGTTTTGTCTTCATGTAGGGGATGATAGATGGCATGGATCATGGTGGCTTATGATATTCAGTAGTAGAAGATCATCAATAAAGGAAGGGTAGGTCCAGGCTTACCATGCCACCATTGCCTACTGCTTAACAGCCTAGTACCACTGCTGAATATTGATGGCCACCACTGGCATGAATGGGAATTTGACTGCATAAGATTTATTTGAAGGCAACTCCTAAGAAAGAGCTGAATTTTCCAAAAATGAAATGAAAGTAGCAATAACCTCATGTCATTATATTATTATATAAAATTGATAAAGTTTGAAGTGCTTTAAACAAGTACTTTCGTGAAGCTAGGCAAAAAAAAATAAAGAAAAATAAACATTATGGCAGATAGGTAGGGAAGTCCATCTATTCACCTTTGTATGCATGTAAGACTTAATCAGTGATAAAATCCAGGGAAGTGCACAGGTTAATTTGCAAATTAAGAAATTCAGCCTTTGTTGGGTGATGGGGCCAGCTCCACCTCACCCTTTCCCAGGGACATACCATTGCTTGCTTGAAGTGGTAGCAAAGCCCTGTCTCACCCCTCACCATGAAAGCCATGTTTCTTTACTGCAGGGGTGCTCAACCAGCATGCGGAGGGGTCTTTTAGCTTGACATCCTAGAGATCTGGCAGACCAGTAGTAAAATTCTAATGTGAAAACTTAAAACAGTCAGTTTTCCAAACAAACCCAGATATTGCAATGGAGAGGATTAGCCATAAAAATTGTTTGCTAGCAGGAAGTTGAACATTTGTCTGCACATGTTCCCACTAACAGGCAATTACAGCCATGCAGACAGAGAGGATGGAAAGTGTGCCACAAAAAAAAAGAGTATGAGGAAGTCTAAAAGGTTGAGCACCCCCTGGCTTCATGCATGGTTTTGATACTTGACTCTGAGAAACAATCCCAAAGGAGTGCTTTTTGTTGGCTATATTCACCCTCCAGTATATACTGGCTCCCAGTCATCACAAATTTATATTTTCAACCATTTCATTGGCATTGGTGTCTCCTGACACCTGAGAGATGCCAATGCCTCCACCTATGATAACTCCTGGAGGTCTAAGATTTAAACTTCCACCTGCTAATGAAAGGGTTAACATGAAGAACATGCAATAATGCTACTAGATGCAATGCCACTACAGCACCCAAGGCAAAGATGAAGAGGTTAGAAGGAAGGAACTACCTTGTAGAAAGGCGATGAAACGCTCAAGGTCAGAAATTTGGGTGCTTAGTTGTTCCACTAGCTGCTCTTTCATCTTCAGAGGAGTCACCAGCTGGGTTAGTACAGGAAAGCAAGAAAAACCAAGCATGCAGATCACCAACCCTGTTAGTTCAACTAACAGTCCAAAATTCAACATGCGTAGAAGAAAAAGATGATCCAAATCTGAAACTGGTTCAACGATTCAATGACCTAATTCAATAGTGGCTCCCATGTACAAGCTCTAATCTCACCAGAAGTATTTTTGTTCTAGCTGCAGGGAGTGATGATGATTGACCAAGGTCATACATGATCATTTAGAGATGAGATGGATCAAGGGAAAAATTAAAATGTAGGAATCCAAAGGCACACATATGTTAATGGAGCTTACTGTTTATTAGAGTAGAGCCAAGAAATAAGGAAGTAATCCATGATATCTGATGCTCCTAGGGGTTTCACAATTTTGAAGAGAAGGCAATATGAAGTCTTAAATGCATTCATTTCTTCATCATCGCTACATAATTTGAATTGTACTCATACAAAATTAGGGAACTACATTCTTACAGCTGAATTCATATTGATGCCAGATTAATAGAAAATGAGTGCAAAATCAGTTAGAATTTGAATTCACAGAATTTTAATAGAAGTGAAACTGCCTGCTTCATCACATACTACAGGGAATAAAACCCGGAAACCCAGATGAATTACTTCAAATCATTCTACAGAAAGGTAGAATGAAAACTTAAAAAACAAGTTTTGGAGTGGGAAAGGAAAACAAATTGCATAACATCAGGCTTCCAGTGCAGCAGGGAATTTCTGCTTGTATAATAAATACCAATCCATATCTTTGGCATTCGATTTAGCATTTTACTGCCAAAAGAGTTCATGTTGATTGTGATGGGCTATTTTTGACACATTCACAGATATACCCTATTTGCCTCTCTAACATGCATTACTCATTACATGAAGCTACCATCTCTTTGGAAACAGATGTATGCCCATGGACACAAGAAACTATTGTTCACAAAAAATGCACCAATACAATTCTGCCAGGAAGTCCTTCACTTCTTCCTACTGAAAAAAAAAGGAAGTATTTGTAAATTTCTCTTGTGCAGGTACCAAAGGGATCCAATGCAAAAAAGTCATTGCAAGACCTGATGAAACAGTCTCAATTTCTCTGCCTTACATTAGAACTAATGATATTCTGAGATGTTCTCACAACACTTCTCTCCAGTTCTGATTCAGTTTCAAGTCAATCAAGAGTATTTGAGCTAATCTTCTGGCTTTGTAGAAAAATTTAATTCAGTTAAATTTTCAACACAAATGTTAAAACAGAAATTTCATGCAAAAAAAGCTCTTACAATGTAATCACATGTAATAGCAATAATTACTTCCACCACTTAAAAAAAAATGCAAACAAACTTGTAATACTGAATGAAACATTAAATAGCTAACCTGTCCAACGGCCTTGTCCACCTGTTGTTTCAACTCTTCCAGGCTTAGCCGGTCCAAATCCTCCAGGTTCAGATCCAGGTGCCCTTTCAGCTCATCTTAAGAAAAGGTCAATACAAGCTTTAATGAGAAAGCATTTACAATTTGGGCACTAAAAAAAACACAAAATGAAGGCTTTCTTAAAATTTGCAACTGTCTACATTGGACACCTCTAGCTTCCTACATGAAATTGTTTATTAGCTTCTATCATTCCCTTTTCCTAATTAAACATGTTTGAGATAAATAAAAAAAATGGACTCCAATGAGAACTTCTACATTCATAGTTTCACTGCCTCAAATAATTGGTCACAACCAGGATCCTTAATTAATCTTTGGAAATCTAGTTTATGTCACCACATTCTGTGACTATTTCAATTTGTAGTATGGTCTTGCCTGTTAATTCTGTGCGAAGTGTTGTCATGATACAAAGTGATTCTTGAGTTCTGCATCTGCTCCCTTAATTTTTACAGGCCCAAGCTTACTTTCTAAGATAAACTGTAGCTATAGACCACCTTTTCTCAGCACCTTCTTTATAACCTTCCTTTCTGACTTTACTGCCCACAATTTCTTCCCACAGTTTCCCACAGAAACATAAACAAATCACGGACTTCAACAGCAATTCAATTCAGACTCTCACCGATGACCAGCTTCTGTCGCTCAAGCAGGAGGTTCTGGGGGAGACCGGCATCCCCCGTCTCGTAGGCGTATCTCTCGAGGTCCTCCAGCTGCGTCTTCAGCTCGCCGATCAGCTCCACCTGCTTCTGTCGCTGTTCCCTCAGCCGCTCTTCTCTCTGGCGCATGTTCTGATGAGTTCCAATGCAAACATCAGAATGGCCATAATCAAGAAAAGGCAATACTGCAGTTCCATGCAAATGAAAATTTTAAATTAAAATAAACTGCTTCATGTACTTTAGCACACCTGCTTTGTCAAGTTTACCCCTTCAAAGGTACCACATGAGCATTAACTTCTGATGTTCAACCATGGCTAACAATTTTAGATGGCAGAAAAGAATTTTGAGAAAAAGTTTCTGGTCCAAGAATGGGCAGACTTTGCTCATCATTATGGTATGCAGAACCGAAGAGCTCCTGCAGTCATGCGAGTTTCACATGCCTACCTGTTCATCTTTCAGTAGCAGATTTGTCTGCAGTCCCCTCATATCAGGAATCCCCCTGAAAGCAAATTCCTCCAGTTCCTTCAAGAGCTTTTCCTTTTCATCGCTCGGAGCAGAGACGATCTGCTGGAGTCGAAACTGAACCTAGAATTCAAATGGTATCACAAGTAATTGGTGGAGTTCTCAACAATGCAGTTGACACTGCCAGGTCTGAGAGAAATATAACTTCTGAGAAGATAATGCCAATTTTATGGCAACAGCAATGTTTACTGTAGAAAATGATGAATACAATTAAAAGGCTTGAAAATGTTACATACACTTCACATCAAAGAGCAACTGATGGAGTCATCAGCTGACAGTCATCTGCATGCAGATCTAGCACATGATAGTTGCTATGAGAGTTTTCAATGGGATTTCATAGCTGGTGAGACTATCAACTGCACTATTCCCAGCCAAATCTAACTTGTTGGACATAGGCCTACTGGTACTGGTACGTACTGGTGACATCGGTCTGAGTGTCATGTAACTGGAGATCTCTGCCTATATCCGTCTGGCACTATTAGCAACTACATAACTGCTGAAACTAGACACTCTGAAAGGTGAGGCAGAAACTAGCATCTTTCTGGTACTGGCACTATGCATTTCCATGGCAGTCAAGCAAAGTCACCACTCAGCGATGCACAAGGCCCAGATCGATGCTTTCACCATATGTTTGGCACCTCCGTATATGAGGGAAAAAGTTACTTTAATAGCACAAGTGGAATCAGAAGCACAATTTATCCACCTTCTGCCTTGCCACTCACACCTACATGGCTCTCTATCTTGCTTTGTTCATGAAGGCCACTAACCTACTCTTAAGGATAGTCACAGAAGGGCCAAGCACTGAATCATCACTTAACACAATGCATTCACTAGTAATTCAAATTCACCAGTAAAGAAGTCATGAGGTTTACATGACTTGAGTTGGATTCCTCTCATTCTATTGCGACCATCAAAAAGGAAAAGCCTACCATACTCTGTCTTATCAATTCCTCTTGAACTTAGATGCAAATGACAGAGTTCAGATCAATCTGCTCATCTAAAAACCATTATTTAGGCTTAGCTGACCCAAAAAGGTAAACATAAATGTACCTGTGCAAAGTGGGTAGTCAACTGCAGTAAAGAAGTTGTCAGTTGTTCTTGCTCCTCCTCCAGCATCCGGAGCTTATCATTCTCAGAAGTGCTAAAGAGAAAATCTGCATTGACATGAGGTTACCACTAGGCCTATCTCGTATTCACAGTCGACCGACCTGGGCCTGCTGGAGCTCTTCGCAGCCCAGTTCATTTCTTGATCGGTCACGTTCTTCTGGAACAGGTCCTCGACTTCATCGTGGTCGGCGCCGAGAGGGGCCATTCGCTCCATTGTGGGCAGCTGACCGCCTTCGTCCGATTCATCGTCGGACTGAATCCACGAGTTCAGCCCAGCACCTTCAAAGTCGTTTGATTCGAAAAGGGCGTGAAAGGGGAGAGGCTGGCCGTCCTCAGTGCCTTTCGTCGCGAACACATCGTCGGGTCCTTCCTCGTGAAATACGTGGCTCTCCTCCATCATGACAGAGGGATGAAGATATGTAGGCCTACAAGAGGCTTAGAAGCCTCTATTTGCGATCAGGAGCTCCTAACAGGATGACACACGGCGGGGAACGGTGATGTTCCCTTGAGAAAGTACCATATGGGGGAGAGCCACGGAACTCATCTTCACACGTGGGGGAGGTGTGCGGCCATGTCTATTTAACTCTCGCTTGACGTCATCACAGACTGGCCTCCTTCGTCGAGGTGTGTCCGGCCTAAAAGCGCATGCCCGACCCAATCCCGCACGCAACCCGCTTTACTCCTTCCCGCGGAGCCGCGCGGTCCTAGCAGTCGCCCGGCGCAGCATCCTACCGTTTCCGTCACACATACCCCCCTCTGGCTCACATTCATTCATTTATCCCAGCTGGGTCCCGTAACACCCACGCCTGCTAACTAGAGCTGAGAGGCGGCGGCCAAGAATAATTGCTACTGTAATGAGATATCTTTTGGAACAGAGAGAAATGCAGGGAAACGAATTTGTTCCTCCGACGTAGAAAATATGATTAGATCACTATGTTAAACATTGTATGTTTGCCAGAGAAGAGGAAACCCCGAGCCAGCGCTTCAAGGAGAGATACGTGGAAGCCGTAAAAAGGCAGACTTTCCAGGAATATCCGCCAAACATCCGCGCAATCCCCTCCGCTTCGAGTGTCACTAGGTCGCGAATGGCCTTCCATCCTTCTTCCATCCTTCTTCTTTCCTTCTTCCATCCTTCTTCCATCCTTCTTCTTTCCTTCTTCCATCCTTCTTCCATCCTTCTTCTTTCCTTTTTCTTTCCTTCTTCCATCCTTCTTCTTTCCTTCTTCTTTCCTTCTTCCATCCTTCTTCCATCCTTCTTCCATCCTTCTTCTTTCCTTCTTCTTTCCTTCTTCTTTCCTTCTTCCATCCTTCTTCCATCCTTCTTCTTTCCTTCTTCTTTCCTTCTTCTTTCCTTCTTCTTTCCTTCTTCCATCCTTCTTCCATCCTTCTTCTTTCCTTCTTCTTTCCTTCTTCTTTCCTTCTTCTTTCCTTCTTCTTTCCTTCTTCTTTCTGGTGGGGAATGGACGGAACGCATCGAGTGAAGATGTCCCTGCACCATTCAATGGGAGTCATGAGAAGGTCCACGTCATGAGGAGGCCCATGCATTCATGGACGAAGCAAGAAAGCGGGAGAAATATAGTCTTAAGTAGCTGGATTACTTAGGTGACAGTAACGAAGACAGATGTGCTTCTCCAAAAACATCTTTGAAGCCTTACTAAAATCGGGATGTAGAGGGAGAGCGCTCCACCTCCACTCTGGATGTGAATAGGAGCGCTCCACTTCCACTCTGGATGTGAATAGGAGCGCTCCACCTCCACAATGGATGTGAATAGGAGCGCTCCACCTCCACTATGGATGTGAATAGGAGCGCTCAATGTGAAAATTGATTATTTAGCACAGTTGGTCACAGGAGACCCTCAGGAGAGTTTAGGCCGTGAAACCTCGTTAATTCGAAAGCAAATAATCTGGATTACTCTGGTACCCAGGGCGAGTGTTCCATTAATACAGTATACACTTTGCAGGCGGAGGAGGAAAGAAAATGGATTTCCTCCGCCGCCTTTCCGAGAATCGGATGATGGGATTTGCTCCAATTCAGACTTTTTCTTCTCCCAGAGATATTTCTCTTCCATCGTTAGAGCCCCCCCCCTTCTTTCGATGCTGAAGATGCGAACACCCCAGGGATTACTCTTTCAAACTGAGCTTTTTTCTATTTCGACAGAGTTCGGGGATTCAATCGCTGCGTCTGTGACGGTGTCGGAGGATCTCGGAACTCCTTTATCTCTCGGAACGTAAAACGTATCATGGAGAAGGGTTCCGATCTGACCTCCTTTGTGAAAGGGTCCTTGGAGTCCGTGGCGAACATGCAGCGGAAGCGGAGGGAGACGGAGGCGTGGATCCATGCCCAGGAATATATCCTTTCGCCGTGGACGAGAACGACGACGTCGCACCAGCTGGGTCCCGCCCTGAAGCACTCGGAAATGCCCGCCAGGAGGCCACTCTGAACCTCCAAGTCCTTCTCGATTGCATCCTCTTCTTCCGGTATGCAATCCCTTACTTTCGCGAGTCCCCTAGGAGTGACGAAGTGGCTGGATGCCCAAAACATGGAGGTAACAGCGGAGACCTCCACAAGAGTCGAGGCACTGAAGCACTGCAGAGAGAGAAAGAGAGACCTGAATGACCCGGGAAAGGCACTTCAGGTTTCCGATAGGATTAAGTCAAGTGTGCAAGGCGGCTCTTGTCGTTCATATAGGATTATCGAATTCTTCCATTTTCTCTAAGAGAGGACAATGCCACTTCTCTCTCCTTCAACTTCCACCCTCATTGCTTGGATGCAGCCTCTAACCGCCTCGAATCTCGTCATTGTGAAACCTTCCAGTGGTATCTTTCGAGAGAGGTGTTCTTAAAAGTCCGAAAGAGGACGTGACAAGAGGAAAAGGAGATTAGGTGTTTATCCCTTTTCCGAAGGAAAGTTCTTCTCTTCGGATGAGAATGACGACATCACACCAGCTGGGTCCTGCGCTGAAGCACTCGGAATTATCTGCCTCGAGGCCATCATAATCCTCCAAGTACATCTCAATTGAAACGATTTTCTTTTTTTTTCTTTTTTTACTGCAATTGCCCTTCTTCCAGTCATAATGGACTTCTCCACCGGAGGGGATTGAGGTAATCCGATGGATCGAGCAACCCAAAGTAAATCTTGGCCTAAAGAAACCGCACTGAAACGTTTTATTCCAGAAGAACCTAGTTGCATCAGCGTAGCATCCATCACTTCAGCTTGAAGGCTCAGCGGTTGGTGTGAACGCAGCCTTATACAAGGTGTATGGAAAAACCAATGGTAGGCATACAGAAGACGTCCGATCGATTACACCGGATTACACAGGAAATTATCGTTATTATTATTTTTTATTATTTTTCCTCCTCCTGCATCCTAGAAAGGAGGGTGGAAGTTGAAGGAGAGAGAATGGGCATTGTCCTCTCTCAGAGAAAAGGGAAAAGTTTCCTTCTCCCTTTACATTTGCATGGTTTCACTCGTACATTGTGGGCAGCTGACCGCCTTCGTCCGATTCATCGTCGGACTGAATCCACGAGTTCAGCCCAGCACCTTCAAAGTCGTTTGATTCGAAAAGGGCGTGAAAGGGGAGAGGCTGGCCGTCCTCAGTGCCTTTCGTCGCGAACACATCGTCGGGTCCTTCCTCGTGAAATAAGTGGCTCTCCTCCATGAGAGAAGAGAGTTGAAGATATGTAGGCCTACAAGAGGCTTAGAAGCCTCTATTTGCGATGAGGGGCTCCTAACAGGATGACACACGACGGGGAACGGTGATGTTCCCTTGAGAAAGTACCATATGGAGGAGAGCCACGGAACTCATCTTCACACGTGGATGAGGTGTGCGGCCATGTCTATTTAACTCCCGCTTGACGTCATCACGGACCGTCCCTCCTTCGTCGAGGTGTGTCCGGTCCAAAAGTGCATGCCCGATCTCACTCCCGCAAGCAACCCGCTTTACTCCTTCCCGCGGAGCCGCGCGGTCCTAGCAGTTGACCGGCGCAGCATCCTACCATTTCCGTCACACGTCCCCCCCCCCCCTCTGGTATCGACTGCTCACATTCATTCATTCATCCCAGCTGGGTCCCGTAACACCCACGCCTGCTAACTAGAGCTGAGAGGCGGCGGCCAAGAATAATTGCTACTGTAA